TCCTGTCTGTTTCAACTGAAGAGATGTAGGCAGCAAAGAAGCAAGAGATGCTCTCCCCCACCTCTCTCTGCCCCTCCCTGCTGGTCCTACAATGGATACAAAGAGGAACCTGTTCTCTGCTTCTTGATGCCATCACCCCATTTGGGGACAGTATGAAGGGAGGGAGAAGAGGGTAAGGACATCAGTAAAGAGATTGCTTGTGGGCAAAGTACTGTCATTCTGACTCTCACTCCACAGCCAAATGGGTGGGGATGGGCTGCCTCCCAGCCCATGCCCAATGAGGGGATTCTGAAATGTGTTCCTGTAGGTGGAACTCAGAGCTGGCATAAGCTTTAAAAAAGTCAAAGTAGACCATTGACTCAGGTCCCTTTCCTGCCTGGAGTCTAGAGAATGGAAGCCGATGTCCTGCATGGGGTCAGAGGCCAGAGACAGCTGCAGTGCAGGAAATGGCTGGCTGTCAGGGCAGGTGGTGTGTATGTCTGAGAGCTGGCCACGTGGGGCAGCAAGCATGGCTGGGCTTAGCTTGGGGCCTAAAGGGCCCTGGGGGAGCAAAAGCACTTTGGTAGACAGAGGCTGCCAATAGCCTGCCGGGTGCTCAGGGCCTGCAGGAGCCCTGATGACTGCAATAGAGACACACCTGTCCTGAGTCATGGGAATTACAAGGAAAAGGGCCCTGCAAAAAATTTGCTTTGTCTGTGTTTGGGACCTGAAGGGACTCTTAGAACTAACCACCAGTTATCTAAGAGTGAACAGAAAATCCTGGGGCCTGCTACAATTTTCATCCAGGGGCAGGGATGTAGTATACCCACATAATACATTTAAAACAGCAGTACAGCAAATCAAGATGCACTTTGAATACATTGGAAATCATGTTTGCTAAACACATCAGATACACTAACACATTAGAGTTGAGATGACGTTAGCAAAGAAGTTTCCCAGAGGAATCCCATACCACATTTCATTTCAACTGGTTAAGTTTAGCCTACATAGTAATTCATGTCTCCTGCTTCCTTCTATAAAGGTTGAAGACCAGGTTTCCTAGCCAAGCACATTATGCCGTGTACTCCTTAGAATGTACTGAGGTATCTTAATTGTGCTCATCTCCAGGCGTCTTTCTGGTTGCCTTCACCCTCCACCCCCTGGGCTGACTGATGGTTTGATGTAGAAAGAGTGGCAGGTGGGTAATGCTCTAGAGGTAGTGTTAGAGGACTTGTGCAGTGATTCAATAAAGGAAAATGGATGGTGCTTTCAACGACTTCCTTGAAAAATAAGCGTATGTTTTCAGACCCTCCTGAGAAGATGTGGAGTGGTGCTGAGCATTTTTGGCAAGAGGCAATAGAGTCTTTCCTTTTTTGTCTTCATTCCTGTCTTGAGTTTTCACACACGCAAGGCTGTTTGTTTACCTGGGTTTCCCTTTGATCCTAAGGAACTCTTTTCGCTGCTGAAGCAAATTCAACAATTTGCAGCCTGGGCTTGGGGAATCAGAGGCAAAGTATGTTTTTGGTGCAATCAGATATGCAGATAAAAACTGGTGAGTGACATTTGGACTGTAACACAAATGATCCCTTGCATCAAAGTGGAGGAGAAGCTGTGTGATTTGGAACTGCTACATGAGGTAAAAAAGGTAGAAGGTGAGAATTGTTAAAGATATGCATATGGGAACATCGTTTTCCCAAATGTCAAACTTGCAACAAGGTTGGAGTTCCTTTGCTGTGTAAATAATTTTTTTTTCTTTTCCTGGGAGCTGAAGATGATCCTTTAATGCCAGAATTTTCCATTGTCACTTTAAAGGCAATCCGCTCTACACTTTCCCCAATGAGTGCTGAAATGACTATTACATGCATTTGATCAACTACACATGAACTTTACTTGCCAGGAAAGGAAGAACAGAGGTAGGAATGAGAATGCAAGTACGAGCTACATACATTTTTGATCTTTCAGAGCCTTAGAAAAATGGAAGAAAAGAATAAATAAACAAAATGAGAAGGGAGGGAGCAACCGTGCTCATTTTTAGCCCTTGTTCATTTTCTGAGCAGAATGCACCTGAGCCTGGGGCTTGGGGCCAGGCACTCCTGTGAATTCCAGCTCTACCTGCCCCTAGTTTATGGACTTGGGTCAGTTACTTTAATCTTTTTGTGCCTCTATTTCTGCATCAGTAAAATGAGGACAGAAATATTTACCTTCTAGGATTGTTATGAGCTAATATAAGGGGGTTAAAAGGGTGCCTTCCTGGTGCATAGTTGGTATATGTATATATTGGTTAGCTGTTGTTATATTCCCATGTTCTAGTAATTTCCTGATGTGAAGAAAACTCATGTCCAGCCTCCACTGGGTTATTTGTGATTTGTAGCAATATTATATAACCCGACTATACTTATTTCTGTATTCACATTATTTTTAGATAGCACCAGAGAGTTGGTTACAATAATGCTGATAAAAACTTAAATCTTTCCCTCATTTACTCATGTATCCATATTGGTTCATTTATTGATTATTTGAGTCAGGGTAGTGGACAATTTATAAATCTGTATAGAGCAGAGAATTTTCCCTTCAGGAATCCATAGTCATTTGGTTAATGTTATAAACCATGTATATCTAATTGGAATGATTATGTTGGACTATACTATTAAATCCCAATAAATAAAACAAATTCAGAAATAAATGGTCTAGCAAAAATGTCTTGTGAGAAAATTTCAACAGTGAGGATTGTCCTAAGAGACTGATATCTCTGGCCATAGTCAATATACCACCAGTCTTCAGGCCGCAGATGTGCATTCGGTCCTCTTGTCTCTTCATCTTCACCATTTCCTGTGAAATGACTTGACACTTTTCCTTCTGTTGTGAACAGAAGCTCCCTACTGCATCCTTAGATCAAACACTTCCACTGAATGCCTGCTCTGACCTAAAAACTCCATTTTAGCTAAAAATGTTTTAGGGATTGTGAATGATATGGATACAGACCATAATTTTCTATTCATTTTTGGATGTATTTTAACCTACAACCAAGCCTTTTCATTTGTCATCTGGGCCTTACTGAGATGTATGACATATGTAGCCATTTTCCAAAATAAGGAATCTAACATGACACATTTTCTATTGAAAATCAGATAATCATTTTATTATAAGAAAAATGATCCATTTTTTATTTGGTTGTTCTTATGGGCTCAGAAAATTCTCATGCCTTCAATGCTTTTGAACTGCTAGCAGCATTTTATCAGACCTTCCAGTATACTTCACTTAGACCACTAGTGGTGACACAGCTGATAGTAATCAAACATGTCTAGTAGCACCATTAATTATGGGCAATCTTATGTCCCAAAAAGGGAACTTACTCTTCGATCTGAGTCAGCATTTACTCATGGTAAAAAGTATAAGTTATCATGGTGAAGATGAAATGACCTTTAAGGTTCTTCTATCCCTAAATTACTAGGATTCTAGATCTGTGCTCTCCACTATGGTAGCTACTAGCCACATGCAGCTCCTGAGCACTAGAAATGCCTCTAGTCCAAACTGAATGTTCTATAAGTGTAAAATATATACCAGATTTGGAAGAGGTAGTACAAAAAAATAATGCAAAATATTTTGGGTATATTGGGTTAAGTAAGATACTAAAATGAGTTTAATCCATTTATTATTTTTTAGTGTTAAAACTACATATGTGGCTTGCATTATATTAATATTGGACAGCACCACCTTTGACCTTTGAAACAAAGGGATCAAACTCTCTCTTTAAGGACTTTTAATGTCTAATGGTCAATGTTTCCAAATTCAGGTCCTTTTTCCTCTAAAAATCAAGTAATTAAAGTCAAAACTTTTATCCATCCAAACTAATAAATCTTGCATGGGCAGATATTTACCACGAAATTCTTCTTAAAGTTACTTTCTGTTGACATTCTGTGGAAGTTCTACGGTTATGATATTCAGCATTCAACACTTATGGTGTCTCAACTGTATCATAAAAAATTATCAGTGAGTTCACCAAAATGTTAAAAATGATTATTTCTGGGTAGTGAGGTACTGAGTGAGTTTTGCATTCTTTTTAATTGTTTTCTTCATCTTTCAATCTTTCAACAATGATGGTTGTTAGTTTCTCCATCAGAAAAATGCCTATCTAAATTTCAGCATGAATGATTTTATAGATTCTATAAATATCACAAATATGTAAACAAAGAGGCTAAGTTTTTAAATATCCCAAAATGTTTTAATCTGCTTTCCCATATTTCCAAATTTTATATAGTGAATAGGTTATTTCTATGGAGAAAAAAATACACCTTATTTAAAAAATTGCGATAATCATCAATTCTTTTAATGTTAGAAACCTAAGTTAATTTGCATGTTGATTTTCTTAGAACTCTTGCAGTGTTTGTCTTTATTATACTGAAGAGTGGATATTTCAGATTTTAGCTTCAGTCTTCATGCTAATATAGCTATTTTAATATTTTTATAATTATCATCAAACAGAATAGTATTTAGTTAAAGTCTTTGCAGGAGATGGGGAAGACATCCAAAGGATATTTTAATATGCCACTGTGTACAGTTTACACTATAGTGCAAAAATGTCCACCTAAACAATGCCATTTACATCTGTGTCCTGCAGCAACAAGAACACTCTCCTGCAAGCAGCCTAGGCCAGCTCACACATCCCTAGGCGCACTCAGGAGGATCCACATACACACACACCGTGAGGGCGTCGTGCCCTATCCCCGTTCCACTGATCACAGCCTGTAGTTGCTTTTTCTACCTGCCCTCCACTCTCAGAGGCCAGACCCACCATTCCACCTGCAGCAGGCGCCATGGGTAGGCAGTGTGTGGGTCCTGGGTCAGTGTGCTGCCCTGCTAGCTCTGAAAAGAGCTGGGCCCTTAAAGGTCTGTCAGGAATGACTGTTTAGTCTGGCAACATTATACTCAAATTGTTCTTTCTTCTTGGGGAAAGGTGTTTTTTCTAATTCCCATGAGGCAACAGCCTTTTTGACTGTGGCATTTCCAAGTACAGAACTTACTGTTGGTAGTAAAGATGGCTTCTCCCTCCTGCGGTGGGGGATCTGTGTCCCAGACCACCTGCAGGGCTCCCACAGTCCGGACAGCAGGGCCCAGAGTGACTGAGCTTTCGTTCACAGTAGTGTCGCTGGCACCAGTGATCTGACTGGCTGGTGGACCTCCCAGAGATCCTTCATAGTCGGTGGGCAAGTCGTCCATGCAGTCGGCATTGGGCTGACAGGAGTAGAAAAGGATTTATTCTTAGTGTTTATCATCAAGTTAGAGATCAAATGTCCACAGACTAAATATTTTGTCTCAATGGAAAACCAAGTTCTTTATTGTTTTCTTCCTGAACCACTTTATTTAAAAAAATCCATTATAGTTTTCTGTAATTAACAGAAAAACATCTTGCAAAATTTCCTTCCCAAAGCTTCTGTTTCCATCTAGATAGAAGGTTATAATTCCAGGAGTAGCAATATCCATGTTAATATAATTACTTAGGGCAGATAGCATCTTTATCTATCACAATAGTCTTTCTTATATGTGGCATTTGTTCCTCATATAGGAAGTAGCTGTCAGCCTGATAATTATCCCCAAAGACCCATGCATTATTTTCAAATGTACTGATGACAGGAGTGGGGGATAGAATCTGACTCACTGTGAATTGTTCATTACAAATACACACAAAAACACAGGGTACAGCTATTTTTTTGTAGTTATTAAACATAAGTAAAAAAAATCAGCTGTAGAAAAACAGCCCCATTGACTTAGCATGCAGTTGATCATACATTTGTGAAATCTTCTACATTAAAATCTTAGAATCATAAAATTAGGGCGAGGCCATCTAGCTGAATTAGCCACTCATTAAAGGACTCTCTCCCACCACCCCAACATCCCTGACAGTTCCACCTGAACAACCTAGAAGTGGGGAGCTTGCTGTTTTACAAGGCATCCTGTGCTGGCCAGCTGTGTTAGACTATTCTATTATTGGGTAGATGTGAATCTTTGCAAGTTTTACTCTCTGGTTTTACTTTTGCTGTTTAAAGTGATGTTGAATACATTTATATCTCTTCCATGAACAGCTTTTTAAGCAATTTTCAGTTGTTATGCCTCTACTCAATCTCATAAAAGTCATTTTAAAAAGATGGTGGTGGAAAGATATGGTCTTGAGAAATACTAAGAATAGCTATGAATGTTTTTTGCTCTGGTCTGAACATCAACATTGCCTTGAGTGATGATAACTGCATGGTTTTACACTTTCAATGGATGCAGATCAGGATGGGAAGGATTAGGCAAGGAGTAATTCTGGACTGCCATTAATTAACACCACAAAGACTACATGGGGTTCAAAGGTCATTAAAAGGGAGCATCGATAACTATAACTAACGGACTCAGTGGGAGCCCAAAGTAAGAAATGCAAAGCACTGTACTCTTGTCTGAGTTTTCCACTCTTAAACCATTATCTGGATCTCTGCACCTGTGTTTCCAACAGTTTGGTTGGAAATTTCCATCACCCCACCAAACTCTCTAATTTAGTTCATTCCCTTTTTCTCTGTATTCTCTCTACTTTCTCCATCTTTCAGTAAGTCAATTCATTAAATTGAAGTTGTTAAAAGTCAATTCACTGAATGACCAATCCATCAAATTTACCAAATATACTGATTGTGATATTGGAAATGGTTAGGTATGCCAGAATCCTTTCTCCCCATTCCCCTTCTATTTCCCCCCAGTTTCTTCCCTAGCATATGCCATTCTACACTTTCTCACCAAAGCACTCTTTCCTTAAAAAAACACAGGTATGATTTTAATTTTTTCCTAAAGAACGAATTACAAGCTCCTTAGTATGGAAAAACAGGCCCTCCACAGCCTCACTCCAACCAGCTGTTCCGGCCTCACCTCAGCCTTTGGAATCACTGAATACAGTACGTGGTCCCTACTTCAGTATGTTAGTGTATGCTGTTCCTCTGCTCAGATGACATCTGCCCCAGTGACTCCCCTGCCTCCCCTTATTTTATCTCCTGTTCCCCAACTAACCAGGGTGAACTCCTACTCATCTTGCACTTCCTGGGCCAAATATCACCTTTTCAAAGCAGTATATTCCCTCCCAGGTGGTCACCTTTGATTCTGTAACACTTGACACAGGGTTTCTCTCACTCTGCCTGTTATTTGTAACTGTGCTTGTCTCACTCTGCTAGTCCACAGGCTTTTTTTCCCTCCAGCTTTATTGAGATATAATTGACATCCCACACTGTATTTGTTTAAGGGTACAACATAATGATCTGATGTATGTATACACTGTAAGATGATCACCTAAGTTTAGTTAACATGCATCACCTCACATATAGTTATGAAATTTTTTTCTTGTGACAAGAACTTTTAAGATCTACACTCTTAGCAACTTTCAACTATGCAATACGGTATTGTCAACTACAGTCACTATGCTATACATTTCATCACCAGAATTTACTTAACATATAACTGGAAATTTGTACCTCTTGATACCTTTACCCATTTTACCCAGTCCCTATCCTTGAAAGGAAAGGAGCGACACACAGCAGTAATTCACCGGGGAATTCCACTTTATTAGGGAAAGGTGCTGGGTTATATAGGAAGGGGCATGAGCTGATTGAGGTGTCACTTCTACAGGGCTGGTGGCTATTGGCTAGGTGCTGGGAGTGGGAGGGGTGCGAGAGGTGATTGGTCTTCAGGTGGCGCCGTCGGGAATCGAGGACCCAGAAGAGAAGCCGGAAGTTCGCTATCTTACGG